GAGAGAGAGAGAGAGGGAGGGAGGGAAGAGAGAGAGAGAAATGCTGGGGGGAGAGGACAACCTAGTGGGAAATCATGTATATATTTTCTAAAATGGCCACATCTAGATTTCTCTGAGAGTCATTGCGTTGTAGCCACAGCCCAGGGCATGGGTAGTGATGCTACAGCATGAATTAAAATGCAGAAACTTGCTTGGGGCTCTGATAGACACATTATTTATAATAAAAAGAGCATACTATTTAGGACTAGAGGATTCTGGGTTTGAATCATAGCTTTGCCCTAACAAGTGTGAGATCTTGACTTAAGTATGTTACCTCAGTTGAGCTTCAATTTCCCCATATGTAAAAATGGGGATGTGATTTCCTATTTCATAAGGTTGTTGTAAGGACTAAGTTAAATGAAAAAGGTATAAGCCCTTTGTTTATAGTAGTTGCTCAATGCAGTTAAGTTTCTTTTTACCCAAGCACCAATTAAGCAAATGATGGCTTCCACAACTTGACAGTTTAATTATTTAAGTTATGTAGTGAATAGTAGTAGCTTTTGTTTTTGTTGCAGAACCTGGCTTTCTGTAGCATCTTTTGTATGTATATGTTTCACTGAGGAAACAGGGATATTTAGACTTTAGAAAATTTTCTATGAATGGATGAAGGTAAATATCTTAACCTAAAATTGACTTTCATTATTGAAGAAATAAAAAGCAAGCCACAGAATGGGAGAAAGTGTTTGCAATACATCTATCTGACAATGAGTTGATATCCAGTACATATAAAGAAAACATTCAGTTAAAAATATGATGAATAAGCCTAGAGAAAGTAGGCAAAAGATTTGAATAGAGAGTTAACAAAAGAAGATATATGAATGGTTGGCCAATAGACACATGAAAAGATGATTAAGATGATTTGTCACTGGGGAAATGCAAATTCAAACCATAAGGAAATACTATTACATATCCACTAGGATGACTAACACTAAAAAAGACCCCAAAGACCAACCATTGGCAGGGATATGCAGCAATTAGAAGTCTCATACACTGCTTGTGGGAAGGTAAAACTGCACAAGGACTTTGAAAAATGTTGTAGCAGTTTCTTAAAATACATCTACCATATGATCCACTCATTTCACTTCCACCTATTTACCAAGAGAAATGAATATTGTGTTTCCTTTAAGAATTGTACATCAACTGGTTGTGGTGGCACATGCTGGTAATCAACAAGGGAAAGAAAATGAGGCAGGATGATCATGAGTTTGAGACCAGCATGGGCTACACTTTGAGGGGGGGGCATAGTTCAAGTGGTAGAGCACCTGCCTAGCAGGCTCTAGGGCCTAAGTTCAAACTCAGTGCAGACAACCCCCACCCCCAGAATTGTACATGAGAAAAAATAGAGAGAGGAGGGGCAAGATGGAGGTTCAGAAGATTACTCTATTTGGTTCTATGAACAAGAAGAGTCAGGGTTACAAAGGAGATACTATATTCTGAAGTAAGAAAGAGAGGAAGCATATTGGGAATCATGAAAGAGGAGGCAGGACATCTGGTGAGATAGAAAAGTGAAAGTGAAAGCATAAGAGTCCCAATCTCCATCCCCTGCTCTCTTAGGCAGAGAGGAAGTCAAAGACATATTCACAAGGTAAAGCACATGGCCCTGGTGACAGACTAGCAAAGCTAGCAGCAGAATAAGGCCTTACCTCTGGCAGGTTTTAAATCAAGTGCAGAGATTTGATGAGATAGTGACTGATCTAGTGTGAAAGGTTGGCCTTGGTGAACAAAGGCACTTTCCCAGTCCCTTTATTTTGAAGTGCTACAGCAAGATGCCATCCTGAGAGGGGACCTAATAAGACTCAGCTACTCTGGGGACTGGGAAACAAAGAATAATCAATTCAGGGAGTCTTGAAACACCCTGCCACAATGTCTGGGAGGGAGATGGCCATGAGAGGTGGTTGTGGAGAGGGAAAAGGTCTGAAATAGTCCCACTGAGAAATTGAAGCAGTGGGGAGCTGAACAATGTGTTGCCCAGAGTCCAGAGGCCTCAACTTCCCTGACAAGAAGTGAGTCCAATTGCCTGAGGGTCACTGTGGAAACTGAACACTGAGCCTAGAAGTGGGCACCTGACCTTGTACAAGAGACTCAGGCTAGTTTTCTCAATCTGAACAGTGCTGGGGATCATGCTTAGTGCCCTTAGCACAGGGGTGAATGCTTCCTTACTGAACCATATTCCCAGACCAATGGTGAAAAATAGTACCTCTTGCCACTACACTATCCTACCTGAACATTGAGAATACTTCAACTGAGAAGTTACAGGTGATTAAAACTTCCAACCAATGACTTGGCCTCAGAAATGCAAGTCCCAGTGCAAAAACACAAGATATGTAAACAAATAAGGCAACATGACTCTTCCAAAAGTTAATAACTCCACAGTAACAAACATTAATGATAGTGAAGTAAACAAAATCTCATATTTAAAAAATGATAGTAAGAATGATTAACAAAATTAATGAATATTCAAATAAACACCCAAATTAATTCTAGGAAAACACAAATAAAGAGCTAAATGAAATAAAGAAAACAATAAAGGACATGAAAGAGAAATTCAATAGATATTCAAAATGAAATAAATTCAGATAAAGAATTTCAAGTTGAAACTATAGAAATGAAAAGCTCAATAAGCTGAATAAAAAGCTCAGTTGAAAGCCTCTCTAGTAGACTGTATCAAATGAAAGCCAGAATATCAAGACTTGAAGACAAGGCAAATGTATTAGAACATTTAAATTAAGATATAGAGGGGGAAAAGAAGTATGAATGGAACATGCAAGACCTCTGGATCACTATTAAAAGACCAAACCTACAAATCATGGGCATATAAAAAGGAGAATAGCAAGCTAAAGGCATAGAAAGCATTTAATGAGGTAGTAGAAAACTGCCAAACATTGACAGATAATCATCCAGGTACAGGAGTCTTTTAGGACTTCAAACAGACAAGACCGAAAGAGAACCTCTCCAAGCCATGTTATAGTTAATACAGTAACTATACAGAACAAAGAAAGAATATTAAAGCTGCAGAAGAGAAATACCACATCAGGTATAAAGGCAAATCCATCAGAATAATAGCAGATTTCTTAACAGAAATTTTAAAAGCAAGGAGGGCATGGAATGATGTATTTCAAGCCCTAAAGTAAAATAATTGTCAACCTAGATTACTGTATCCAGCAAATCTATCCTTCATAACTGAAGGAGAAATAAAAACTTTCCAAGATAAACGAACACTAGAAGAATTCATAACCACTAAACCAGTGCTGCAGAAGATACTTAAAGGAATCCTACATGAAGAAGATAAATACAATCATGAAAATATGAGAAGAATAAATCTCACTAGATAAACAAATGAGGAGTTGGGAAGAAACAAATGTTACAAAAATAATAAAATGGCAGGAATTACAGTACATCTATTTCTGATGTTAATGGTCTCAATTCTCCAATTAAAAGATATAGACTGGTAGATTAGATTAAAAAACAATACTTGCCATTTATTGCCTACAAGAAATGCATCTCACTGGCAAAGACAAACATAGGTTAAATGGAAAGGATTGAAAAAGATTTTCCAAGCAAGTAGAACCTGAAAGCAAACACGAGTTATTATACTCATATCTGACAAAGGAGAGTTACATACAAAATTAGTCAGAAGAAACAAAGAAGAACATTTCATTTTGATAAAGGGGAAAATCCAGTAAGAGAATATAAAAATTGTAAATATATACACACTGAATGTCAGTGCTCTCATTCATAAAGCACAAATAGATACCAACACATTAATAGTAGATGACTTTAATCCTCAATAGATAGGTAATGCAGACAAAAAAAACAACAAAGAAACTTCAGAATTAGATGACCCTATAGATCATGAAATGCATTTAACAGACAGCTACAGAATATGCATTCTTCTCAGTACCTCATGAAACTTTATCCAAAACAGATCATATTTAGGACATAAAGCAAGTCTTAGCAGATACAAAAATATTGAAATAACTTCTTGAACAACAAAACTAGAAATCATTGCCAAGAAAAACTACGGAAAATATTCAAAAAAATGGACACTGACCAATGCACTTTTGAGTGATCAGTGAAGAAATAAGGAGGAAATCAAAAAATTCCTAGAATCAAATGAAAATGAAAACACAATTTACCAAACCTTTGGGACTCAAAAATCTAAAATGGATTTCCCTGATCTCAAATCAGGGTATCAGAGGGCTGCCTTCCTTCTGAAGATTCTAGGGAGAATCTTTCTTTTCTGTACTTCTTTTTTAAAGCTTTTGGAGTCTGCCTCATTACTTATCTTCCCTCTTTCTTCTATCTTCAAAGTCAACAATGTCCACTTGCCTTCTTGTGCTGTGTCACTTTGACTGCTTTCCTTGTCACCTCTCCTTTGCCTGCCTTTCTCTAATTTATAAGGACCCTGTGATCACATTGGGCCCACCTATATAATTCAGGATTATGCCCCACTTCAAGGTCCCTAATTTAATCACATCTTCCAGGTTCCCTCTGCCACAGGAGGTAACATATTCAGAGGCTCCAAGGATTAAGATATGGACATCTTTAGAGGTGGAAACATCCATTTCAGAATTTCCAGTGAAAGTGGAATTGAAAAAGACGGCATGTGAAAGTTTTTGTGTTGTGGAAGGTAGAAGAAAATAATCTGAAATATGATCACACACTTGTAGACCTCAAGAGGAAGAGAGGTGAGCACGGTGCCAAGACACTGATGTGAATAATAGGGCTGATGAATGGACTAGCAGAAAAGTAAACCTCAACAGAGAGGGAAGAAGTTTTCCTCTCCTCTTTTCAGAGAAAAGGTGTAGCGGGACTCATGGTTGCAGATTTGCAATGGTGCAGGGTGAGTCTTGAAGGTCATATCTGGGGTTAGAGGCTGGCATGCTGCCGTCCCCTGGTGCTCCTTACACATGGGCTGGCCCATCATTGCATCCATCATGCATCTTTGCTTTGTCCTGCAGGTATGCTGGGGCCCTCCTAGACAAGGATATCTTCCAGGGGAAGGAGCTCGACAACAGTCGCTCGCTGCAGGCTCTGGTGGCAGGGCTGAAGGCCTACAGTACCTGGGAGAATATCAGCTGCCTGCAGGACTGCCGTGAGTGCACTGGAGGCATGGTGAGCCCCAAGCTGAGAAGGCTGGGTACCAGATCTGCAGGGATCCTCATGATATAGCATGCATAGGAGGGCACTGTGTGGTGGGCAGAGCAAGGCTTTGGAGTCTGATGCAAATTCTGACTTCCCCTGACTCTAGGTATTACTTGCTAGCTTTGTGGATTGCTTGTCCCCTGATATGATGCTCTGAGGACTGACAGGACCCTGCTTGTAAATGCTTAGCCCATAGTACCTGGCCACGGAGGCCCACAGTGAACATCATTAAACTTGGTGGTGGTGGTGATTAACAGTCTGGGAAAGGGCCACTGAGGATGAGATGATCAAAGCTGTGTTGCTGTATTTTAATACCTTGGGGAGAACACAGGAAACAACCCCAAGATTTCCTACCTCGAGATGGAGGCAGCATATTTAGACTCTGTGTCCCCAGCCCCGGGCCTCAGGCCGGATTGTGCCGTGAGAGGTAAAAGATGTGAGGAGGCCCAATATGAATCTTTGAGGACCTGAGGGAACTCTGAGAACAGCTTAGATCTGTGCCTGATCCTTGCATAATTCTGAGAGCAGGGGTACCCACGGTATTTGGGGAGTCTCTTTACCCTTGTGGGAGCCCAAGCAGTGAGAAAGGGGACACATGGGTGTGTGTTGTGGACCTGTGACTCAGTGGTCAGGCAGAATTTTAGGGATCAGCTATGGCAGCAATTGGGGTTCAGCCCCTGTGGCAACTCCACATTGGCAACCCATAGGAATGTTCCACTTCATCCAAATGTGGCCTGGATGCAGGAGCCCCTGGAAACCCCAGATGACACTTCCTAGGGGAGGATGGAGGGAGGGAGCCCCTGTAGGGTCTTTGGTCTGAATTTGATTGAATATTGCCTAAAAATATTGCCCAGATCTATAAGTGAAGAAGAGTTTTAACTTCAGTAGAAAAGAGGTCCAGAATAAATTAAGAGCAGGTCAGAAAATAAATGCCAAGGATGAGTTTTTGGAAAGCTTGATGATAGGATATCTTCTTCAAAATTACGGGACTCCATGAAGAGTTGGGGCAAGGGACAGAGCTGCTGTCAAAGCCTGAGGGTTTCCCCTATGTGAACAATGTGGCACCTGAAAGCCATTGTGGCCATTTTTCTTAAGGTGGCTAAGAAAGATGTGTCCATGGTGGTGGTAGTGGTGGTGGTGGTAGTTAACACATTTGATTTATTCCCTGTGGGATGTTGTGTGGGAAAGAAATAGAATGGAGAATAAAGTGTCCACTGGCACCAGAGTGCAGCTGGGCCAGGAGCCCAGGTCCTGGGCAATGGAAGCCAGGGCAGTGGCTCATTGTAACCGTCCTTAGGGACCTAACAGGTGGCTTGATTATTTCGGCAGCTCTGCTCTGGTAGCTGGTTGTCCCTTCAAATACTGGTAGCATCTTGGAACAGAGCCCAGGGATTCTGCAGTTGAGAAGGATAGGTTGGCAGTGGAAGGTGAGACCTGGAGTGACCCCTCAGGCAGGGAAATCCCCACGGGAGCACTGAGCCAGCTCAGATAGTGTCACCCTGACAAATGCCTCAACTTGAGGGTCTGCTCAGAGCCACCTGTGATTTTGTAGTCTAGTCATCTTCCTTTGGTTCATCTTCTCTGCTATAGTTTGAATGTAGTTTTCCCCCCTGTGCCTCAAAACATATGTTGAGAATCAATTCCTCAATGCAATGGTCTTAGGTGATGGGACCTTTAAGTAGTATTTAGGGTCATGAAGGATATGGCCTCATGAATAAATTATTTTTTTTCTTGAAAGATTAGGTCTTGCAGAACTGGATTAGTTACTGTGAGAGCTGTTCTAAAGCAGGTTTGGTTTCTTTGGCTCACTCTCTTTCTTCCTCTCTCTCCTTGGGACTCTTCTTCCACATGGACTGCTTGCCAGTCTTATAGATGCTCCTGCTATTTGATGTCACCTACCATGTTTGACATAGCCCAGAGGGCCTTACCGGGGGCTGAACAGATGGAGCCACATGATTTTGGACTCAAACTCCAAAACTGTGAGCTAAATCAACCTCTTTTCCTTATACCAGCCTTGGTATTTTGTGATAGAAGCAGAAAATGGTTCAGTAAATTACTAGAACAGCTCTTGATACTCAGAGAAACACATTTACTTGATTTTTACAAAGGTATGGTAGCCAGGTGCCAGTGGCTCACATCTATATTCCTGGCTACTCAGGAGATGGAGATCAGGAGGAAGTAGTTCACAAGACCCTATCTTGAAAATACCCAACACAAAAAGGGCTGGCAGAGTGGCTCACGTGGTAGAATGCCTGCTTAGCAAGCATAAAGCCCTGAGTTCAAACGTCAGTACTGCCTATACATAATGTATATATATATAAATATATATATATATATATATATACACATACATACATACATACACACATGTGTATACTAGAGAGAGAGGGTAAAGGATACAGATGAACAGCCAGAGGCACACCACCCTCCTGGCACATGGGATATGTGCCAGGATATGGGATATTACCAATCTGTAATATCTCTGAACCACTTATTTTAGTGGTTATTATGGAGGTTTTATTGCATGGGCACAGCTGATTATTAATTTAATCTCTAATCATTCTCCTCTTCCTAGAGGATGGAAGGTAGGGATGGGAGTTCCAAGCTTCTAATCATGCTTGGTCTTTCTGGTGGCCAGCCCTCATCTCCTGCCTAGGAGCCCACTAGGAGCTGCCTCATTGGGACAAAAGATGATCCTAACACCCCAGTAAATTCCAAGGGATATAGGAGCTCTATGTCAGAAGCCAGGGTCAAAGACCAATATCAGAACAAAGGGTGTTCCTAATACCTATAACTGAAGAAATTATAATGGATTTAAGAATTCTGTGTCAGGAACTGGGGGCAGAACAGATTTATATTTGTTGTAATACATTAAGAACTTTGCGTCAGGACTGGGGGGGATGAAAACCTTGAGATGAAAATGTGTGTTTCTTAGTGTATCACAATATCTCAGGCAGGGGATACCTGCACACAGAATGAAGGTGGGAGGTGTGGCATATCGAGGCACACAAGGATAGACATGGGATGAGTCCAAGTGAGGGTACAAGGGAGGAAAGGATTAATGAGGGAAAGCTGGAATTCGATCCAGGAGAAGGGGTGGATTGCATCCACACAGCTGTCTGGGGCACACTTAGGGGTTCTCGCACACCCCAGGACCATAGGAACAGCTGATTGTGTTCACAAAGACAAGGCCACCTGTTCAGGGCCTGGTATGTAGTGGGTACTCACAATGCCACCTATTCTCATTGACTGCTCTGCTACAAAGAAAAGAATTAAGGCTGGACAATGAAGGCAGTGAGAGCAGGGAGCAAGTCATTGATCACTGTATTCTAAGGCTGGCTGTAACATGGAGTATCTAGTAAGCAGCTGAAGAATAAGTGATGACCAACTGTTGGGCAGATAGACGGGTGGACAGATGGACTGATGGACAGAGGGAATGAGTACTAGAATGAGTGAACAAGTGCCCTGTGTGTCCAATTTTTCTTATTCTTAGAACTTCAGTTTAATTCACAAAACTTGTTTCCTTTGGTCTTTTTTTTTTTTTGCTTTATTTTATTTTCAATTTACCCCAAACACTTTATTTTAAACATATGACTTTTGTTATTTGGGGAGAAAGAACACTGGCATTGCCTATAGGTTAGTCATATTCAGAGTGAGGTGTCCACATTGACAGCTAATGATGTCATATGTCTAGTTTTGGAGCTGGAGGCTTGAAGAGAAAATGGGAAATCATTGCACAATTCACTAAGATCTGAGTGCATCTGGCACCTAACTTTTGCATGTACTATAATCAGATAGCCCTGTGAAATCCTGGTTCTCTTAATGGCTGACATTTAATGTTTGCTGCTATTGCCTAACTTGAACATCACCTGCTAAGTAAAGCATATTTTAAATCATATTTACTGTATTTTTAGCAAGTATAAAAGTAACTGCATACCCATTGCAGATTTTTTCTTAGCATAGTTTGTTTTTTGTTTTTCTCTTGTTAGTGTGTATTAATTGCACAAAGGGATTTCATTGTGACATTGCCATACATGCACATTATGAACTTTGATCAGATTCACACTGTCTTTTGTGCTTTATTATCCTCTTCCCTTAAAAAATAATTTTACCCAATTTCTTCATTCTATTTTCATCCATGTGTATGAAGAACTTTGATCATATTCAACCCCCTTTACCCTCTCCACCTTCCCATGGTTCCCACCTCCAAATGGTCCCTCCTCCTGTTTTTACAGATGTGTCATCCTTTTTTTTTCTTTTAGATTTAGATTCCATGTAAGAGAGAATACATGTGATATTTGTCTTTCTGAGTCTGGCTTATTTTGCTTAACATGATGATTTTTAATTTCATCCATTTTCCTGCAAATGACATAATTTTATTATTCTTTGTAGAAAAATTTCAAATACAGAAAAGTACAAAGAAGAAAGTAAATATATCTTACAATTGTATTTCTAAGAAAGGATTTTTTTCTATACCATATCCTTTCTATGCATTGTGTGTGTGTGTGTGTGTGTGTGTGTGTGTGTGTGTGTGCTTAAAATTTTCTAATCTCCCCATTTCACCTGAGTTGATATGTACAATCCTTCTGATCTGTCCTGTGCAGTAAAATTTTAATGTCTGGGACCATTTATCATTTGATGTACCATAATTCATTCAATCTGTCCCTCAAGTTATATCAAGATTTTTTATTATTATAAATGACACTATAGAAAAATATTATAATACCTAACTTCAGGGTTTTTTTTTTTGCACATCTCTAATTGTTTTCTTGGCATCAAGTATTTAAATGACATGAGAATTATAAACAAAGACTGTATGAATTTCCTCTCCCTCAAGCAGTCAAACACAGAATGTTTAGTAGTTTGTGGACCAGTTGTTGTCAAGTTCTTTTGACCATGACCCAAAGTAAAAGGTACACTTTTTATTAGTATAGCACAATATTTACAAACATGCATACCTAAAATTGACC